TAAGCTTGTTCTAAGTAGGTGCTTTAGACCACTGAGCCATCTCTCCAGCCCTGTTGATTCTTTTTTTAAATATACTCTCACTATATAGTCCAGGCTGGCCTTGAACTTGCAGTGATCCTCCTGCCTCAGCCTCCTGAGTGCTGGGATGACAGGTGTGTGCTGCCACACCCAGAAAAACTTTTAAGTAAACAGTTGGGATAGGGCCAGCCAGATAGCTCAGCAGACTAAAGTGCCTGCTTAAGCAAAGTGCAGGGACCGGGGTTCAATCCCCAGCGTGCTGAGATGGCGACAGAAACTGGGTATGGTGGCGTGTGCCTGTAATCCCAGAGCTTGGGAGGCTGAAACAGGAGAATCACTGAGTCTGATCTGTGTAGTGAGACCCCATAGACTCCTACTAAATACGTTTTTTTTAAAAAAGAAACTTTATTGAGGGCCAGCCAGATAGCTCACCAGATTAAAGTGCCTGCTTAGGCAGATACAGGGACCAAGGTTCCATCACCAGTGTGTCATGCCTGCCCCACCCCTGGGCATGCTGAGAGGCAGTGGAGACTGGGCGCGGTGGCATGCACCTGTAATCCCAGCACTTGGGAGGCTGAAAACAGGAGGATCACTACGAGTCCGATCTATGTAGTGAGACCCTGTAGACCCTGTACCAAATACACTTAAAAAAAAAAAAAATGTCCAACGTGGATACCCCTGGAGGTCACTCTCCCTGGGCTCTGTCTAGGTGGCCTCAGGGAGCATAGGGCTGTGCCCCATGATGTACAGTCCCTTTCCACAATGTAGGAGAAGAAGCTGGGCCTCTTGCCTGCACCTGCATATTCCTACAACTTCTCAGAGTCCTTTGGGCAGTGACTGAGGAGATAAACCATGCAGGAAACAATGTAAAAAAAAAAAAAAAAATGAGCATGGGTTGTATGTCCCTTTTTCATTTCTACAGATCTGAGCACCGAAAATTTTATTTACCTGAATTTGTTTGGAATAGAAGTTCTGTGAAAGCAAGGTCACTCTGCTCTTTGACCTCCTTTTGAGCTGCATAGTGATCTGTCACCAAGAATTAGATTCTAACTTTTCTATTAGGACTTTCTAGTTTAAAACAAAAAAAGAATGAGAAACTTCTCTTCCCTGGACAGAGAAAGAGAAGGAAGGGGAAAGATATTTTTATCACTCATTTGCTTATTTTCTTTACTGTCCCTGTGCGCTCCTGTGTGGTCACCAGTGATGGTGATGGGAGGAGAAAGGGGATTCTCTCTGGGTCAAAGAACCCAATTAAGATCTGGGGTGGAACAGTGAGGGGCTTTCCTTTTTTGCATAGAGGAGTGGGGTGGATTACCAAAGAGCAAGGGTAGAAGGACACCCCCCCAACCCCTAGTTCTAGAAGACTTTCTGTAGAAGCTGAAGATCTGAAAACCAGTTCTCTTAAAACTCGAGCTGTGTGTCCTGTCTTCAGAAAGTCCTGCTCTGCATGCAGCAGCCGAAGCCTCCCGGTCTGTTTCCCCTCCTCTGACCACTGTGGTTTTCTGCAGATCTTTCCCCTGCGTGTTCACCTTTGCCAACTCTAAGCTCCTCAAGGGGCTCAAGAGAGGTGCCCACATCCTGATCATTTGCTAGCATCGTGCCCCACACCTAGCAGGAGTCTAGTAATGCCTAGCCTAGGTTTCTTCACAGCCCTCCCGGACCCTAGAATGGTGTTGGGTGTTCAATAGCAAGGTCTCGGTAGATAAATTAATCAGCAAGCAAAAAGGAAAATAGGAAATCAATGAGCTAATGAGCCACTAGGCAAAGGCTTGAAAGCAAAAGAGCACACACCCTGTGGAAGAATCAAGTTCTACAGAATTGTAAAGGATGGGGAGGGTGCAACACTGCTTTATATTCCTTTTTTTTTTTTTTTTTTTTTTTTTTTGGTGGAATCGGGGATTGAACTCAGACCCTTGCACTTGCAGGAAACATTGAGCCATTTCCCGGCCCCTATATTCCTTTTTATAACTGGCCATTGTAGACATAGCACTTATCTCAAAACATCTGTGTAAATTGCACTTCATGCTTTGCATCTTGTCTTGCAGGTGTGTGCAGCCTCTTCTTACCGTGGTGGTGTTTGGTCTGGACCTCAGCCCGGGTGAGGATGTGAAACCCCCCGCTCTGCACATGCGTGGTCCAGGCCAGCAGGAACCCCTGGCCCCAGCCACCCTCACAGCCATGTCAGCCGTGGAGTAGTGTGGACATCTCCTCTCAGCTTCTCAGGGTTTCAGTCCTTTCGGGTTTTCTTCATTTACCTTTTTTTATGGTTTTGTGGCTGGACATTGACAACCAAGTCAGGCATCATGGGGGATCAGCAGTTGTACAAGAGCAACCACGTGGCCCACGGTGGTGAGAACCTTTTCTACCAACAACCACCCCTTGGTGTCCACAGCGGGCTGAACCACAACTATGGGAACTCAGTCTCAGGGGGTGGAATGGATGCACCCCAAGCTTCACCCATTTCTCCCCACTTCCCTCAAGATACTAGGGATGGTCTGAGCTTGCCTGTTGGCTCCAAAAACCTTGGCCAGATAGATACCTCAAGACAGGGAGGGTGGGGAGGCCACGCAGGGCCTGGCAACCACGTCCAGCTACGTGGCAACCTGACCAACTCCAACATGATATGGGGGGCTCCGGCCCAGGTGGAGCCTGCCGATGGCTATCAGTACACCTATTCCCAGGCCAGCGAGATCCGGACCCAGAAGCTCACCAGTGGCGTCTTACACAAGCTGGACTCCTTCACCCAGGTGTTTGCCAACCAAAACCTGCGAATCCAGGTCAATAACATGGCCCAGGTGCTGCACACACAGTCAGCAGTGATGGATGGAGCCCCTGACAGTGCCCTCCGCCAGCTGCTGTCTCAGAAGCCCATGGAGACTCCGGCGCCAGCTCTGACATCCCGGTACCAGCAGGTGCCGCAGCAGCCTCACCCTGGTTTTGCAGGCGGGCTGTCCAAGCCAGCCCTGCAGGTTGGGCAGCACCCTACCCAAGGTCACCTGTATTACGACTACCAGCAGCCTCTGGCTCAGCTGCCAGTGCAGGCAGGACAGCCGCTGCAGGGCCCCCCGGTGCTGTCCCAGCCCGTGCCACAGATGCAGCACCAGTATTATACACAGCAGCCACAGCAGCCAGCAGGGCAGCAGCGTCTCTCCGTGCAAGAAATGCAGCCACAGCCTCCGCAGCAGCAGACCCGCCCACCTCAGCCTCAGCAGCAGCCGCGGCAAGGTCCGATGCAGATACCTCAGTATTATCAGCCTCAGCCCATGATGCAGCACTTGCAAGAGCAGCAGCCGCCGCCGATGCACCTGCAGGCCCCTTCTTATCACAGGGACCCCCACCAGTACACTCCAGAGCAGGCACACGCTGTCCAGCTAATTCAGCTGGGCTCCATGGCCCCATACTACTACCAGGAGCCCCAGCAGGCCTACAGCCACCCCCTCTACCAGCAGAGCCACCTGCCCCAGCACCAGCCACGTGAGGACAGTCAGCTGAAAACTTACTCCAGTGACAGGCAGGCCTCGGCTCTGCTGAGCTCCCAGGGGGACCTGGCGTCTCCTGACACGGGAATGATAGACCCATCCAGCTCAGACCTGACCCGGATCAGCAGCATTCTTCCCCACCGACCACTCCTGTCTCCTGTGAGTGGGGTTCACCTCAACAACACAGGCCCTCAGCATCCACAGCCATCTCCCAGTGCCGTGTGGCCTCAGGTATTCTCACCATGGCATTTCTCTCCAATCTCGGGGTGTGGCAGGCCCAGTCCTAATCCTTCCCCCACTCTTTTTCATACATTCACAAATGCTAAGCTACCAGTGCCAGATATGGCCCATACCAGGCACTTGGAAATCAAAATCAACTTTGACTCAGTCCTTTGTGCAGGGAGCTTACGCTCTCAGCAAGGAAATGGTCAAAAACTGTGTCTTATCCCAAAGTGAATCATGTTATTCAGATCCTGAGCCAGATTACAAGGAACCCCACAATTAGGTGGGCGTCTTACCTGCCCATTGGTTGTTATTCTCGGGGTATTTCCTGGGAATTAGGTCTCCCTTTGGGACTGTTACAACAGCATTTATCAAAGTATATTGCCCTGAACAGCAGTTCTGCAAAATATTAATGGATATTGCTGAGAGGCAGAAGGTTTTGCATAGACTTGGAGATTCCTAAAGTGGACCCTGTGGGGCCTTTCATAGACCAGTGTGCATTGTGAATCCCCTGCAGGGGATGCTACCTATAGCTGCCACCGAAGCCAGGCTTAGCAGGGGTCTAGTGCAAGATGCTGGCAAGTGGTGGAGACAATGTGGACTAGAGATAAGGGTCCCATTTCATTCAAGACATTTAAAATCAATCCCACCAAACAAAATGTGGCTGCCAACCACAGTACATCTGTGACCCATGGTTATTCACCTTTGAGTGGTTGGCTCTTCAAAGTGGCCACAAACGAGCCCACTACAGTACGTGTTGGGTTCTGTTCGTGCCTTGGCAAGTCAGGTACCATGCTCACGTGACAACAGGGCCTTAGGCAAAGGGGACCCAAAATGGGAAGTAGATGGTAGAGAGCATGCAGATGGCGTTGAAGACCATGGAAGAACTTGCCCTTGGCCTGCTTGCATCTGGGGCACAGATGGACTGGTGACTGAGCGCCTTTGTGAAAATATGAATGAGATGGTGGGAGTTATGTCACACAGATTTCCTCTCTGCATCCCACGTGGGGATAGAGCCAGTCTGTACTGGACGGGTATACCTGGAGGACAAAAGGGAGGTTGGGGAAGCCTGTGTCTTGTGGGCCCATGGCTGTTGGCAGCTCTGGGTGGTCATCAGGGGCAGCTAGGTAAAAGCAGCTGGGTGCAGCAGAGCAAGGGCACAGTGGGCATAAACAGGGCCACTGGCCATAGGGGCCCTGCTCTTCTCACTGCCTGAAACTCCTCCCTCAGAAACACTTACTTTTCTCTCTTGTGTCTTCTCTTTGGGATCCTACTTGACTCAAAACTAGATGCACCTACCTGATGGGAGAGCCCAGCCATTGTCCCCTGAGTCAAGGTAGGATAATGGGGTGCTTAGTGGGCTTGGGGACACTTGTGGGTTTCCTGGGTTGGTTCTCACTGTGCATTTCTAAATTCACAGTCAACTTCTCCAAGAGTATAGGAAGAATAGTAACGGTGCTGTATTAGGGCACCACGAGGGTGATAGGCTCGCCGTGCCTGACCATAGCAAGCACTCAAGGGTTGGGGGTGTGATCAAAGGTAGAGCACTTGCCAGGTATGTGAGGCCTTGGATTCCATCCCCAGCACCTAAAAGAAAGTCAAAAACAAACTGCAGGGCCAGCGAGATAGCTCAGCAGTCTAAAGTGCCTGCTTAGGCAAACATAGACAGGCACAGAGGGACTGAGATTTGATCCCCAGCACGATATATCTTGCCAGCCCTGCCCTCAGGGCAGGCTGAGCTGGCAAAAAAAAAAAAAAAAAAAAAAACAACTGGGAGCACTCAATAATTGTTAGCTATCACTATTACCATTTTACAAAATAAAAAACTGAGACTCAAAGCTGGGCACGGTGACACACCCCTGTAATCCTAGCACTCTAGGAGGCAGAGGTGGGAGGGTCCCAAGCTCAAGCCCAGTTTGGACAACTTAGTGACTTGGAAAGAACCTGTCTCAAAATTTAAAAAAAAGGCTGAGATGCAGCTCAGTGTGAAAGCCCTAGGTTCAATATCCAGTGTGAAAGAAAGCGGGGGGGGGCGGGGGGGGGACCAAGGCTTAGAGAGCTTAAGGTTGTACATCAAGCAGGCAATGAATTCAAAGCAGTGTTGGCATTGACTTCAAAACCCACGTTCTGTCCACTGTCCATTCGTTCAGTTAGTGAGGGTTTAATAAGTGCCTCCCACTGCATGCAGCAGTGCATAATACACTTGCTTCCTCCTGCACAAGCATGGAAAATAAAGATACAGGCAGAATCGGAACTGCAGAAGCAAGGGCTGCCCCAGGGAACAGAAAACACACTTCTCTCAGCATTCCCTTCCCAAGAACTGTGCTGATCTAAAATGAGCCACCGGTGGGAGAAACCCAGTCCTATAGGCCTGGAGGGAAGGAGGAGGTGATGTTTGTTGGGCAACTCTTGTGTGACTTTTAAGCGAGCCCTTTCCCACTCTGAGCTCAGTTTTTCATCTGAAAAAGGCTACTAAGCCATCGAGGCAAGCACTGAAGGCATGACCTGTGTTCCTTGGGGTGTTTGGTCTATGTTTCCCTTTGTCATTGTGTGTGTCCTCTCCACCTGGCCCTCCTGTGAACAGTGGCCAACCCAAAGGAGTGTTTGGGGAACCGTTTGATGGCAAGAACAAGCTGACGTGCCCCATCTGCCTGAAGGAGTTCAAGAGCCTGCCCGCCCTGAATGGCCACATGCGGTCCCACGGAGGGATGAGGGCCTCCCCCAGCCTCAAACAGGTTAGCAGGCGCCGTCCCCCATCCTTCCCAGGCCACGTGCTGCTTGCTTTGCTTTGCCAACATCGGGCACAGGTGACAGAGAGACATGAGACCGGACAGGCCAGAGCAAGAAGGCCCTCTTCCCTGGCCTTATGGACAAGGGTCAAAAACAGGTGCTAGAAATCATTTCAGGGGATTCCAATCTACCTCCCAGAGGACAGCCAAAGAAAACACAGAAATGCAGTGCTGTTTTTAACTTCGGCTGCTTAAGCCCCCGTCAAGGCCTTAGTCCTTGGGAACTTCAAGGTCACGAGTCAGTAACCAGGGAAAGCACAAGTAACCCTCAGGCTCCAAGCCAGAGGCTTCTGCTCGCCGTGGCTGTGGTGCTCACCTCCAGCACCCTGAGTCCCTTAACACACTGGGTTATCTAGGGCAGCCATCCAGGTAGCAGACTGCTCATGAATTCCTGAGTTAGATTAGAATTCTCAGAATTCTTTGCATACTATTGATCCTAATCTAAGTCTCAAGAATTAACTCTGTCAACCAAAATCTTGGATTACCCAGCTCCCTCCATCTCCTGGCCATAACAGATGAAAAGGCTTTGTCTTCACTTTTTTAAAAAAATGAACAACATGTCTTACATTTTCATTTGGTTTCCTAACCTGGATAAAATAGATGAAAGCCAGGTCTGGAAGTACACACCAGTTATCCTAGCACTCAGGAGGCTGAGGCAGGAGGACTGCAAATTACAGCCTACTATAGGCACTTAGTGATTTAGTACAACCCTATGTCAAAATTAAAAAATTTTTAAAAAGGACTAGGGATATAGCCCAGTGTAGAAGCCCTGGGTTCAATCTTCAGTACTAAAAAAATAAATAAATGAGGATGAAATGCCTAATTCCATTTGATGCATGCATGGACTGAGGCTCTCAGAATTAGAAGGTCCTGCATAAGCCCACACATTTTGTTTTGGCAGACTACAAGTCCACGACCTTTTCTTTAAAAGCAATGACAACTCCCCCCACCATTTTGAAATATTTTAATATACAAGTGATCAATGGTGAAAATGCTTCGGTGAGAAAACAGAACACATGGCCTTGTTTACACCCCAGCAGTAGCACTCAGCCTAGGGACCCTGGTTACAGAAAGTCAGCAGCAGTGGTTCTCTGTCACCCATGCCTGATGTCCTAGAACCTTTCAAGAAAAGCAAATCGCGTACCCCTTGGGAGAGCAGTGCTCAGCCCAGGATCAAAGCTCTCCTTGTCTGTGTAGGAGGAAGGAGAGAAGGCCCCGCCGCCTCAGTCTCAGCCCCTGCCACCTCCGCCGCCGCCTCCGCCGCCGCCGCCACCGCCGCAGCTCCCTCCCGAGGCAGAAAGCCTCACGCCTATGGTCATGCCCGTGTCTGTCCCTGTCAAGCTTCTCCCGCCCAAGCCCAGCTCTCAGGGGTTCACCAACAGCGTTGCTGCCACCCCTTCCGCCAGAGACAAGCCGGCCAGCTCCGTGTCGGACGACGAGATGCCTGTGCTCGTGAGGATGACTCTCTCTCCCCCACACTCCCCCCAAGGGGCTGCCCCCCGCGCTCCCACTGTGAGTCGCTGCTCAGCCCCCTGCCTGGGGTGGGTCATCCCTTTGCTTTGAGACAGCTCTTCTAGAGTCACTGGCCTGAGCTCAGACACAACTGAGCCCCCATGTCCACCTGCTATGGCTCGCAGATTACTCTTACAGGCCAGTGACTTGGCTTGGATTCTGGACACCTCAAGGGGTCCCCAGGTTAGGATAGATGATGGTTCAGCTGGTTCTCACTGATTCAGCCATATCGGTGAACTGAAGCAGTATTTGTCAGCTGTGTATGTCCATTCAGCTGTGGAAGCACTTCTGCTCCAGACATGAAGAGCCACTGAGGTCACCCCAGCAAAGCCATTTGCTTATCACACTGCTAAATTCTTCCTTCTTCCTTAACCACCCGCCTCACCCCTCCCCTGCCCTACCGTGGAGAATCTGTGCCAGCATGGGGTAATATTGACCCCTCCCATCCCAGAGTCCTGGGTTGGTCCTGTTTGTCCTCAGAGAATAGGAGATATGAGGGGAGCTGTGGGCCAGAAGAGGGCCAGGGAGATGCTAAGAGAACCACAAAAGTCTGGCAAGTGCCATTTTGGTTCCTGTTGCTGTCAAGGCCTAGGAAGAGGACAGACTGATGGGAACCTTGGGAAGAATATTCTCCTGGGCAGGCAGGAGGAGCCCCTGTAACCAAGCTCCCCTCCAGTCCAGGGCTGCGCCTGATGTCCTGAGAGGGACAGTATCTGCCCCCGAGAACTCTGTCAGGAGTGCTAGTCACACAAGGTCACAGCTCAGGCAGAACATACCACCCCACTCACTCAAGATGGCAGAGGAAAGATGAGGGCACAAGAGGCACCAGAGAGTGTCCAGGAAGAAGCCCTGAATTCCAACTCTGTCTAGCCCAGTGGGACAAAGACCTTGAGAGGAACTCCCCTTGAGTCTCAGTTTCCCTTCCTACCCTAAGGCTGGACTCCTCTGTGGTGGGAGCTGGAAGAGTTCAGCTCCTGGCCTGGTCCCAGAGTCCAGATGCCTCCTGGGGGTGATGCCACCTGTCCCATGGGACAGCCCGAAGGGCTTCTCTGCCCAGGTGGCTCACAGCCTTGCCTACAGCATCAGGAAATCCTGTGTGAGGCTGGAGGAACAGGACTCCATGGCACGGGGGCAGAGGGGACAGAGGGGCTAGGGTCCCTGGGCTTAGCAGTTAGGATGCTGGAAGTGGCCTCTGCCTAGATGGCTGTGAGGGACCAAAGAGGCTGGAGTTTCAGGGTTTGCAGCCTGCTGGGTGGGGATCACGGCCTTCTTCCCTCCTCAGCCTCTGCGCACCACAGCCACTCTCCACCTCTTAAGACCCTCTGCAATACCTCAGTCTCTCCCTCATGCCTTAGCCCCTCCCCCTGCCTCAGCCCCTCCCTCAGACCGCAGGTCCTCCTGCCTCTGCCTCAGTTCCTCCTCCTCGCCTGCCTCAGCCCCGCCCCCTGCCTTGGCTCCTCCCTCATACTTAAGCTCCTCCCCTTCCCCTCAGCCCCTCTACCACTTCAGCGTCTTCCTCCACCACCCAAGCCCACAGCTGCAGGCCTCACGTGGGTAGGTGCGGTGGTCACGTGGCCGCCCTTCCCGTCGCCCACCGCGAGGCTCCCGGCTAAGCAGCACCTTGGTCGCGTGTCCTGTGGCCTCGGCAGCGCTTGCACCCCCTGGCGCGTCGTCTTGGTGTCAGTCACCCGCAGGCCAAGTGTCGCCAGGCCAGGTGGTGACAAGGCGGCAGGCAGCTTGAGGCAGCGTCCTCGCTCGTTCCGAGGACTCCGGAACGCCAGTCCCAACGCCAGGGTCCTTGTCTCTTTCTGAGGCGCGGGGCCCTTCAACGAAGTTCCTGTCAGGCAGGTGTGACAGTAGAGGAACCCGAAGCCGCGCCCCTGTCGCCCCTGCCCCAGCCCCGCAGCACATCCTGGCGTTCCCCTGGCCCAGCCACACGCTGGGGTCGGCGGCCCCGTAGAACCCACACTCTCCCCACAGGACGCACCCCGGAGGCCGCCGCGCGCCGAAGAGCCCCGCGCCGAGAGGAGGAAGCCGCGACCGC